ACTTTTGTTGATAGTCATAGCAAAACATAAGGCTATGGGGTTTGATGGTACCAAATTTTTTGGGGTATGTAAACTTTTTCTCTAACTCAATTTCCCGAAACAACAATACCACCGATGATGTTCTTTTGCAGCTCGTCAACGATTAATCTTTTACCACTATACAATCCAAATGTTTGGCCAATGTTATTCAATAACATAATCGATACCCCCTTTTTTAAAACAATTTTGTGGGTTGGGATTTTTTAAAATTCGATTTCATTCAAAAATTAAAATGTTGTTTATCCTCCATCAACACTTACATCTGAACCTGTCTGGCATATGGAATCATAAGTCAAGTACTCCATTTTATCTCTTAGAATGAGGGATAACACAAATTCATTTATCATTTCTACAACCTCAAACGCGGGTGTCAGTAGAGCCATATTCTAAAAAAGAATAAGTTTTCATATTCTCCAATAGGTTCGGATAAGTGAAGTCCACTATAGTCTTGAAGGGATAACTTTGTTGTGTCTAAAATCAAGAATTTAGGTGAAATTTCAATGTCACCAGTTCCATTAATCACTTGTCCAAACTTTCTCTATCCAATTTTGATTATCATACTCCCTCTGTTCTCAAAAAAAGTTCCTATTTTGAAAAAGTGGAAAAATAAGAAAATGTTAAATTGTAGTTGACTTCCAATTTTGCCCTTGATGTGATAGGTAGATTGTTAGAGAAAAAGTATGATGTGATATGGAGGGTATGAAAAAGTAAGGGTAAAAGTGATTTTTTAATAGAAAGTGGAAGTGTTTTGTTGGAAGTGAAAAAAATGAAAGAGGAAGTGTTTTAAAAAACGGAGGGAGTATCAAAAAAACTTGTATGTCCTTATGTGCGCAAGCAGATGTAGATGAATGTAATATCATATTCTTGGTCAACGTATAAACTTTACAATATGACCATAATTTTGAGGAATTCACGTTGGTGCCTACAATTTCCTCTCTCGGAGTAAAACTCAAAGATTCTGGCAAATATCACATCCAAGTACAATTATTTTCCTTCCAAATGATTCATAATTAGAAACAAACGCCATTACATCTCTCATTGTGTGGCTCAATGTCTCAAAAGCAAATCTATTAATGGTGTATGTTTCATCTTATATGATTAGACTTAGTACCTTTAAGTGTGTAAATACTAAGCATTTTTATACCTTTTATTCATTAATAACTTTTGTTATATTGTCCAAATTGTATGTATTTTTTATAAGTAAAGCGTGTACCTTATAAAAATATAACAATTAAATTTTAAATTGGAAAACACT